AAATGGGGCAGCTTTGCAACCAATGCCCCTTCCTTTGAAAATAGAAACATATGGACTCTTTGAGAATGGTACACGAGACTATCTCAGAATTAGCCTTTATCTTTACCATTTCGTCAACCGATTTGACTATGGTCGATCTCTTTCCATTGGGAAGAGAAAGCTTTTCTGGATTTCCAATGTTACCATTGTCAATATCCATGAAAGTTTGGTAAGTAGATCTTCCAATCAAATTTGCTTTACCAGTGCCCTAAATCATTGCCGATTCAGCAACAACAAACAAATAGATAAGACCATTAAGAACTCACTATGTGACTTAGGAAGTTATTGAAGAACCTAGTGAACAACCAACTTACTCAAGACTTTGACACCCAACTCTCCCGACTTGTTAATATGTGACTTCATCTCAAAGATGTGAGCACACATAGACTTTGCTTGCTAATAGGGCTTGAGTGACCTTGAACTATTCAAGAACTTGTAGGTAAGGGAGAATAATTGGAGGATGTGGAGGAAGAGAATTATCATTTCCATGATCCAACCACGGGACATCATCTTCATTAGGAAAGCTTGTTTCAAGAGATTTGGAAAGGTTATAGTTGTCTGAACCAAACATCTACAATGGGAGAAATTCAAGTTGGTTGAATTAAGTCCTTAATATAACTCCCAACATGGAATATTAAGGCTAGGACTGAATACAATATTTTATAACTTGGAAGAGGGATTTTGTAATCCAAGGTATAAATTATTTGAAGTTAGGCGAATGACGATTCACCAATTTCCACCGTGAAAAATGAAATAGATATTTTGAGATTCATTGAAGTTTTCAATGGCATGTTTAAATATCGATTGTGCCCTCTCAAACCTTCAATTCCTTAAATACGATAGTTCTTAGAAAGAAACTGCCTTACTGACAGTTTGTACAGTTTCATGCCTTCAATTACGTTAATACGACAGTTCTTAGGGAGAAACTGCCTAACTAACAATTTGTGCGGTTTCATGCCTTCAATTCCTTGTGAATGTAGTGTGAAGTGTAATTGCGTCAATTCCTTTCAAGATGTCTTCTTGCACAGAAAATTCCGATCCACTCTCCTTGAGTCTCTTCTTCTTTTGAATTTGCATTTTAAGACAAATGAAAATTTTGAGCTAAAAATAAAAATATGCTCAAAAGAAACAAAGGACGTTTTTGAATTTTTTTGTTTTTCTAAAAGAAAAGAAATAAAATATTTTTTCGATTTTATGATTTTGTGCATAGAGGAAAAATATGAACAAATGTAACAAACACACACAAAAAAAAAAATGTACAAAAAACAATTTTGTTAGTCTTCAAAATGAATCATTTTAAGAAAACCTAGGAGTATCCAGAAAATGCAAATCGTAATTCAACAATTGAAGTTGCATCGAAGTTAACATATTCAAAATTCATCACACCATTAAATATGATCCCCATTTGTGTGATTTTTTCTTTCTCCTTTCCCGCAAAGGACACATACCCTCCGTAAAAGTACTGAATGTCGTGCAGTTGAGAGATGTCTTATGTCATGTGCCTGGAACAACCACTATCAAGATACCAATGTATGATGATATTCCCCCATAGCTGCTCCGGCGCAGAGTGCATGATTAGTTGGTTTTGGGAACCCACTCCATTTTGAAACTGGTTTACCTTTATTATCTACACAAGATACTCTTTCCCATGACATATCCTGTTTATCAGATAAGGAACATAAAGAAGTTGCAGGACTTTTGGACGATTTTGAAATGTGATCTTTGGGAACCCATTGGTAATTAGGTTTAAGCATTTTAATGTTTAACCTAATGGGTGCTTCCTTGTTGGACTGAAAGGGACCTTTTTCACTTACCTTTGGAACATGAATACCTTTCAATATAGGATTGTATTGTGAATGTGAGCTAGAAGACGACCCTTGAGATGAATTCAACTTTACATATTTCGGTTTGGCTGAACCATCTCTCAAATTATGCTTCTTGTCTGACGTGCCCTTTTTGTCCTTGGGAGTCTACTTCTTGGCCTTTTTAGCATTCCAATCACCATTGCATGAACGTGACCACGAAGGATTACTTTTGTAAAAACTCCCCCTTGGCACGTTCTATCAACCATGTTCATAGTAGGGAACCTATGAACAATGTGGACAATTTCTTGCAATGTGACCGGGAGCCTCACAGTTGAAACAACTTTTTCTTTTCAAATAAATAAGATTGTGACTTAGTCCTTATCTAGATGAAGTTTGTTTCAAGGAACTTCCACAAGCACAAGCACAAGTACATGAACATTTATTAGACATTTTAACAGATTTTTGTGGCTTGTTTTTTTCAACAGTGGGAGTATCATCATCAAAAGTTTTTGAATCATTTTCAGCAGAACAAGAATTATTTTTGTTCTGCTCATGCCCATCTTGCACTGTGACCTTATATGCACATCAGGTAGAAGAATTAGAATGATTCACATTAATAATCTTAGTTTGGCTGGATTGTTCAGTCTTAATTGAGGCAGTTACAGGGGGTGATCATACTATGCAGGAGTCTCTATCTCTTTGGTTTCAAGGGGCTGAGTATAGTTATAATTGAAACGAGGTGGAACATTATGATACCCTAGATTCGTACCCTAGTTGTCTTTCCACTTTAATTATTTTTCTATCATAGACTCAACTTTCTCACTTGATACATCAAATTTCTTAAAAGTAAAGTCAACATCCTTAAATATAGCCTTTAATGCATCAAGTTCAGCAGTTAAGTTTGCAGTTTTCTCCTCTTTCAAAAAAAAAGTTTGCAGTTTTCTCCTTGGCAAACCGATAGTGAACACATTTAGTGTTGTATTCTTCTTTAATCCTGCTTAAATCTTTTGTTTGTCTTCACATGATTGAGAACATGAGGTTTCACTATGTTCACGGTATTTATTTATTTTGTCTTCACATGATTGAGAACATGAGGTTTCACTTACCTTCTTGGTGATTGAAGAACTCATTATTAGCCAAAAAAATCTGACCGGAAACAAAACAGAAAAAGATAAATACTCTCTGACCGAAAACACCAATAGTCAACACCCTATTAACCGAGAACCTTGAAGGTCAAATTGCTTGACCGAAAACTACTAACTGTAAACTATGTATCTTTGTTGAGAACCCTTCTATGCCAAGAATGTTATTCCTTTATACCGAAAACACCAAGTAGCCGCCGATAACTCTGAGTCATAGCCGAAAACGAGATTTTTTGACCGAGTTTCCTTATCTAGTGACTCCCAAAATTTGGTAAGTAATCAAAAACAATTTCCAACGTAATATCTTCCAAAAATAGTGACGAATCACCAAGAAAATAATGAACACAAAGAACAGCAACACGATGAACATCAAATTCTTTTTAGTACAACCCAATAACACTACAAACTATTTATTGTTTTGAAAAGCAATTGATACTAAAGTAGCCTTAATTCGTTTTTAAGGGACTGATACCACTTGTATGTCCCATTCTTGAGTATCAATCAAAATCACAAGAATTGGTGTGGAATCCCAATCAAGTGATTAATGCTAAACAATTATTAAGAATTAAGAACACAATTCTCGAATCTCCAGTGCACACTATATTCAAGAATAGTCTAGTACATAAGATTCTCATTTGCTTTTGGTTCTCTATTTTTCTCTAAAACACAATCTCAGCTCCTTAGAATGACCCACTCCTTTTCACGGCTGAAACTATACAATATATATACCAAGACCTAATCAAAAAGGCCCAACCAAAAACCCAAACCGAAAACATAATAAATCCCACTGAAATCACATTGTGTTTTCGGTCCAATCAACACCGAATTCATGGTGTTTTCGGTCCTAGACTGAGAACTCTAAAAGACATATAAAGTAAAGTATAAACAACTAATTATGTCCTAACACCTCGTGTGGACAGTACTCCTCAATCATGAGATGCTTTAACTCACTCCAAGATATGGATTTTGTTATATTAACTCCTATGGTCTTTGTGTAACCGGCCCACCAACATAGGGTTGGGTCATCAAGGGTGATGGCGGCGAACTTGAATTTATAGTCCTCCGGACAGAAGCTTATCTCAAAAAAAGACTCCATCTTTTCTATCCACATAATCAACCCAAGAACACCTTTGTTTCAGTGGGAAGGTTTTGGCTTACATTTCATAAAATCTTTATATGAACAAACCCTGGTTGAATCTCGATTATCTCCTTGTGAACTCTCACCTCCATTTCCTCCTGATCCTATGTTCCTAGCGGTTTCTAGGGTTTCTATTGAAACAACAACACATTCGGCCACTAGTGCCTTATTCGCGACTGAGCTCATTAGCTTTGGATTGAGTTTGGGTTGTTCTAGGTTTCTTCTAATACGAGGCATGATTCTAAATTTATGGCATATGTTAGTTTTTATGATAAATTTTGAGTTCTACTTTGATAATTTAGTTAAGAGAGTTAACTATATCAAGAGAACAAATCAAACAAATAACATAATATAAAATAAGATCAAATAATTTTCATTAACCACTACAAGCTTTTATATCAGGTTTTTCCAAAAATAGTGTATAATGGTGTGGTTTGAAAAAGAAAAGTATCTATTTTTACAAGCAAAAGACACTGCTACACTATTGGTCCTTTCCTAAAACCCAAAAGTCATAGTTCCTAGCTTCCCTTGGCTATAACTATCTACCACAAGCCAAAACAAACTAACATCCAAGTCACTATCTATGCTAACTGGTGCTGAAGGCAACCGATCATCTCCTCCATAGTGGTTGTACCTAACTCTGACACTACCAACCTCAACTCTGTTTCCCTCACACGCTGCTCAAGAGTCTCAATTACCATCTGCTGATAGTTGTACTAGAAAATGAGTCTCCTATGGATGATCACATGCATTAAGTATCCTCGTCTCGTCAAAATATCTCCCCTGCTCTGACTCCCTAACTCTACCTTCTAACAACCTATCATGCTTCCTATGCGATTCGTGATCCTCCTCCACCCAATGAATGCGATCCTCGTGTCATGCTACTCGTGAGACTAACACTGACATCGCTCGGTATGTCAGATCCTTTGGGATGGGATTTGGTGCCTGGGATGACTCTCCGATCTCATAAAACACAATACTATCATCCATGATCCACTCAGCCACATTGAGTATCCATTTGTGGGTGGGGCAAGGTTTCTTTGATTGATTCGAGGATGATAGTAGTGAGGCTGCCATCTTGTGGGATGGGATAGGAATGGATTTTATGGGGGTAGTGATATTTCTGCATCCCGAAGCATAAATACTAAGAGATGATGCGGGAAGTGGGACAACAATCTTGGGGGATGAATCTGACTCAGTAGATTCATCCTCCTAATTCTCCTCACAATCCTAATGGGAAGATGAATCTGGGTAGGGTGCACTGTTTGTAGGTACTCCACAGATCTCATCGCTAGGCTGCTCCTCCTCCTCCTCCTCCTCCTCCTCACTAGGCACTTCCTCCTTTACAAATGGCTCCTCATCAGCTTATACCGGGGTAGGTGATTGAGGAATCTTCGGATCACAATTTGTCTCTGACTCGGACATGCGTGGCATGACTTGATCTTCTTCCAGATAAGGATGCAACACCCAGTCCCATATATCCTCCATATCGCTCTGATTTCCTACATAAGACATCCAACAAGAAGATGTTTATGAAAAAAATATATAATAAATATAATTTCCTACTATAGTATGTGTGTGTGTGTATATATATATATATATGTGTGTGTGTGTGTGTGTGTGTAAATACAGAGTAGATAGTACCATATCTTAGGTAAATTTATATATGAGAGGTATGTTGTATGCATGTCTCTATTCCGGTTATCATCAAGGTGTACCATCCTCTTACATTAGGTCTTGAACTGAGGCTCTAGTCTTTAGGAAGTTGATCAATGCTAATGATCCGAAGATCCTTTATTCGTAGGCTTTGTCCTAATATCTTAACTAGGCATAAAAACTATTGATCCATAAATCATCAAGTGTTTAGAATGTCAACTACGACATCCATGTTTAGGTGTGCATCGGTCAGACTATAATAAAACTTATTTGCGCATTCTAGGTCTAGTTGTGGTACGATCACAGTAGTAGACTAACCTTAGGATTCGGTCTTGACCTAAAATCTTAATTTGTGACTTGAATGGATAATTTTTATAATATATGAGTGTAGTTATAAGAGTTTATATAACTCTCTATATTATTAGTTTTGATTATGGTATTTTATTAATTCTATGTTTGTGCACTTCAACACCACTTATCAAGGATCCGCCAAGTAGTTAAAGTCAGAGGGCAGGACCATATCCGCATATAGCCATTCTGAAATCTTGCAACTTAAACGATAATTTTTCTAACCTAGGCACCTCTCTTGTAAGTAGTCCATATGTACGGTAATTAAAATTGATACTTTTATTAGGTTTAACGAATTCAAAGTTTTATGCCCTAGGTTATCGTAGTTCCTAAGGAATTACTAGTTCTTTATAACATGTAGCTCTAATGCCAATCTATCACACCCCCGGCTGGTGGCAGAAACCTCGGGCGGTTCGAACATTGAGAAATTGGATCAAGGCATATATATATATATATATATATATATATATATATATATATATATATATATATATATATATATATGTATATGTATATATATATATAGAGAGAGAGAGAGAGAGAACAACACAAAAGTATATTACAAAAGACACTTTTTTATTTTAAATTATTTTGGGATTACATTGTTTCAAAGTCAAGCACACAACCTAAACATTACTAGTAGCGATAAACGAATGGAACTAAACTTAAGGAAGCTTCGTTGAAGACCTCCTCCTTGTAGGCATAACTACCCTCCACTCTCATCTCCCAGAGAATACATGTATTTTGAAAACATCAACATAATGTTAGTGAGTGCACATGTTTTTATACTCATTGTGTTTTATTTGGTTGTATTAATTTAAGAATCCTTTTTCTTTTTAGAAAAACCTTTCCTAAAGTATTTTATCAACCCCATCTTACTATTTTTTTTTTATTATACCTAACAATTTTATTTCATTTCTTTAAGATATTTCATTAATCCTAATTTTCTATTTTTTTAGGATATCTAACAACCCTAATGTATTTTATCTACCATTCTAATGCGTCCCTAATAGTAGTCGGGTCTCTAAGGTGTTTGTATTGTACTACCATGAGCCACCATAATCGATGATGTTTGACTAATAGTTGTGCCTTCACGATGCTTCATCAGAAAATGAATAAGGATTAGTAAGAAATTTGTCCTGTCGGGATTCTAGCTAGCAATCACAGGTGGGGGTGCCAATCTGCGTATAGATCTATACATATCTTTCTAGCTCTTGCAAGATTAATGATTGTAGGTACCAGGGAAGCTGAATTTAATCAAGGCTATTAGACGAATATTAACAGTTCACTAACGCATTAACCTTAGGTATGTATCTTTTGTCTTTTATCTTTTATCTTTCCTATAACTAACACAATATAAACCCTTTTTATTTTATATGTAGTAATTATGTCTTTTGATCTCATAATTATTGTGTGTGCATATATATATATATATATATATATATATATATATATATCATACATATATACTCTAATTATGGTTAATTTGATAGTTAGATACTTGGGCAGACTAACGATTAGGTACAATGCTTAACCCTATATTTGACCAACATAACTTCTAGGTACCATGCTATCCTAGGGATTTGGTCATTTTAACATCTAAGTATTATGTCTTCCTACACTATCAAGCATCATAACTCTTAGGCATAATATCATAGTTTAGAACTACGCATAGTATCTAGTGTTACATTATCCTAAGACTTTAAGCTTTATAAAAAAATTGATCATTATAAATATAAATATATTTCTGTAAAACCATTTGATAAGAATGTACTCCCCCCCCCATGTAAATCTCACCCTAGTCATGTGAGACCTTTGATGTAGGTCTGACTTAGGCTCGAGACTTTGGGGGACTTCCCAAAGGGCACCAACTTCAAGATTGTTAAGAGAGTGAGTTGTAGAAGGTTCAAAATGAACTTTGCACATCCCACTATATATAGTCATGGATTTAGGTTGCACACGGTGAAAGTATCTACGCGCATCGCGCATGATCTTCGTGGATCCATCCAGAGAAGGCCGTATGTCACTTCCCAAATTGGCCACGTCACTCGTAATCCACTCAAATTTGGTTGCAGGTACGCGACGAGCATAGATGCACACCTTGCGCGTACGAAATATTTTTGTAAAAATTATAATTCTTGCATGCGAGCTCCGATCTAATCCCTTTCCATATCTATTTTATAATCTCGATGGGTACTACAACTCTCCTTTAGGTTGCTTTATCTAGTTTTGACTTTCATTTTTATGCATAACGGGGGTAAGCATAAATGATTTTTCAAAAATCATATCTATCGCATACGGTTCCCATTTTTGGCACTCTTTGTCCTAAGGTTTATATGTTAAGCAGTACTATGAATCTCCTTTTTCACTTTTAGTTAAAACTCAACCAATTTGTAAGTACCATTTTGACATAATTAATTCTAATTATTGGGTTGATTTTGAGTTCAATAAATTCCATAAGTCTTTCCTTTGGAGTCAGACTTTTATGAATCTTGTATCCTTGAGATAACGTTAATGACTACTATCCAAGTATGTTAACTATTTTTGTGTAACATCCCCCTCTCGCACATATCACAATATTTTCTACTTTGGGCTCCCAATACGAAAACTTCCCAGGGGGTCACCCATCCTTGAATTGCTCACGCACGAGCATGCTTAAATCTAGAGTTCTTATGGGATCTGCTGCCCTCACGACTTTAAAACACGTTATGACTAGGAAGATATCCACACCCCTTGTGACAACCCGAAATTTCTATCTTGTACACCCATTAAATTCAGTCAAAGTCAGATTTGTTTCTACTAACTTTTAGCACTGTTTAGAGTCTTTTTGGGTGTTCTAAGCCTAGTACAATCAAGAATCAAGTATCAGGAAGTATCTTCTAGGGTTCATTGTGCAACAAACAAACCTGAAACCCTATATGAGGTGTTTACGGCCAAACTTTATGAGTTTGGGCTGTAAACTCCCTTCTTGGTCGTAACCTCATGCCTAATACCTAAGTTTACACACTTTTTCCTCATTTCTCTCATTCTAAGTTCAAGAACTTCCATTTCTCTCTCAAGTATCATAAGATCTTCATTTCAATCTATCAAAAATGTAAGTATTTCATCATTTGATTTGTTGATACATCTCATTATCTAGTACAATCCATTGATTTCATCCATGAAATCAATCATTTTGAGTTAGATCTTCAAGAACACTAAGAACACACACTAGTGTTTTTAGACCTTAATCACCCTTTCAAGCTTCTATATTGTAAGTACTCCTTCCTTAGCTTAACATATGCTTGGATCACATGTTAAACACCATGAAATCCTCAATAAATCACAAGTGAAAGGTGTTTACGGCCACAGACCTTAAACACCAAATGGTATTAGAAATCACAAGCCTTGGAACTAAGTCTAGAACACTTCCTAGTGAACTATAGGACCTTAAACACCAAATGGTATTAGTTACAATGAGTTTACGGATGTAAACTCATTGGTACATAAGCCCATGGACCGTAAACTCATGTGTGTATTACGATATGGGACGTAAACTCCAATGTGATGCCCTACTCCCGTACAAGTGTTTCCTAGTCCCTAAGGTTGTTCCATTACATAATTAGTTGTTATAAACACTAATTGTAATCATATATCTGTCATTATATGTTAAATAGGATCCGTGTGTGCTCAAGTCTTCACTTGACACTTAGCATTCTTTACCCATCTTACATTCGCATCACTCACTTCAGGTGAGTTCATACCCCTTGATCTATCATTTTAAATGATTTTAAATTCTTTTATGGGGTGGGATACAAGTAGAAAACATATAGTTATATAACCAATCACATGTGATTTATAACTCTCTTTTAAACAATAAGATTTCATCTACTTCAAACTATGTTTAAAACAAAGGATTTCAATTACTTTAAACTATGTTATCAAAACAAACTACTTTTAAATCGCTTTAGAAATTGACATCATGTCATCAATATTTATTATTAAAATCTTCAAATGCTTTACAAAACTGCTTTCAAACTTATATATAGTATCCAATGCATGCCTATATATGTATAGTTATGTAAATAATATTTAAAGGACTTAGTACTGATAACTCGCTTTATTTCCTTTTCCTTGTTTGGATTTGGCCTTAGGGTATCGATTATTTATCTGAATGTCATCTAAATTTTAGTTATATATTATGTATACCTATGTAGACATAAAAGTTCTATTAAATTAGTTCGGTACCTTTGGGTAGCAAAGGTATACTTTCATTTGTTCATATACATAAATTACTTGTAAACTATAGTAGGTATAGTTTAGGAGAATACTATAACAGTGGATACTATAATAGAGAATACTATAACAGAGAATACTATAACAAGAGAATACTATAACAAAGGAATACAATCATATACAAGTACATACAGAGAATACTATCATATACAACTACATACATAGAATACTATCATATACAAGTACATACAGAGAATACTATCATATACAATTACATACAGAGAATACGATACACA